TTACTCGTGTTCAAATCAAAATGTAAAGTACTTAACTTTTGAAGCAACGTTAGAATGAATTACCGTTTTAAGCAGTTCCTCAGATATTCGCAACACAGATTCGCAATAAGTTAATAATTTTTAGCTCATTCAGCATAATATAAGCAGAAATCTGAACAGCAAAATGTTTTTAAAAAATTGATATTTTATCATGCTCGCATACTGTGTTATCATTCAAAGGTTCGATGTTAGTACATTGCTATAAAATCAAAGACATTAATTATATACTCTATGTATGCTTGCCCTATGGTCAAGAATATTATATAGAACACTGGATGTTGCCCCTACAAGAAATTATTGAATCCAAGTTTATTCACCTTTCGTATGTTTTTTATCTCGCTCACACTTGAATAAAATGTTGCCATAATAAAATGACTTTTTACCTTGGTAACTGATCATAAATATATGACCAAAAGAGAGGCACACATATTTTATGTTTATTTTAAAATCCAAATATCAGCCTTAAAAATTTAAACAATTTAAAAGTTATTCATAGTTTATTTAGGCTATTTTAAAGTTGTTTTTTTATTAAAATTATTTTTAAGTTTACCCACTTTTAAACTTTTAACGTGGAGTTCAAAACTTGTAACACTGTTGGGGTAGTATTATCCAAAATGGCTACTCTGTCAATTACTTTTCGACTACTCGAAGTGTTTGACTGAAGTATTTCGAGGATTTGTGAATTAATTTAAAGTGCCTTATTATGTATTGCGTAGTCAAAGATTGTACAAGTGTATGGAACCCAACATCAAATGTCATCTTTCACAGGTAAGTCCAGAAATACCATATTTTAAGTTATACATTATCGTTACCTATTTTATGCCAATATTTAAAAAATCTGTAAATATTTACGTTCGAAACGGTGTCACAAACATTTATCTAGTAATCTTTGTCATCGTTTAGAAATTTATATGTGTAAATCGCATTTAATTATTAAAAAACAGGTACGTTTAGTCTTAGACGTCAAAATTATGTGTTTGTAAACAAAGAGCTAAAGGGTGACCATATTTTTTAAGTTAGGTAGATACTTTTTGATTTGTGGAATGGTTGAATTTTATGTAGGCCTCGTTGCTCTTATAATGAGACTAACGTGTTATATCTGAGGGTAAAACAGAAAGGTCTTCAAATTTTAATAATTAATACAGTGTTGAAACTAAGTTTAGAGAGGTCCTGTTATTTTGCTCTAATTACAGTAAATTAAATCAGTCAACTCGGTTAATATACAATTAATTTTATGTTTCAGTTTTCCTAAGGACTCGGAAAAAAGGCAGAAATGGTTGTCTGTTATACCATTAAAAGGGAAGTTTTATGAATCAGCAAAGATTTGTAGCTTACACTTTAAGCCGGAGAATTATGATCCATTAAGACCAAAAAGGCTTTTAAATAGTGCTGTTCCGGTTGATTCTGTACAATTATGCTCCTGTGGTAATAACGTTATGGTAAGCATTTTTTACATTTCACAATGTGCTGCTTACCCATCCAACAACCATGTTGAGAATAATATTTCGAATTACAGGCATGTAAAACGCCATTCAAATGCTTGGTTTCACCTAATGCAATGATACCGACAGAAACTGATAGGTACTTGTTCCACAGTGTCAGGAAAAGAACACAGCTATTGCGAAAAGGACATACACATCATACAAAATGAAAATATTGTAAGTATTTAACTTATTGTCTAGTATTAAGGTATGTTTTTATCCTTTTCAAAATTTGCTGCTTACATACCTAGCAATCATGTTAACAATAATATTTCAAATTACAGGCAAGTACAACGCCATTCAAGTGCTCGGCTTCATCAAATGAAACAATACCAACGCACAACACACACAGTGAAAATATTGTAAGTATTTAATTTATTGTGTAGTATTAGCTTGTACTTATGGCATAGAAGTGAAAATACATCCCTACCAAACCTTCAACATCCAGGTTAGGTTTTTTTTTGTTTTTTCACGATGTAGTAAGCTCATGATAGACATTGAGTCCTTTTGATCATCTAAGTTGTTACTGATTATAATCTTTGTTCCACAGGTAGTTAATGAAAATGAACTGCCAGCGAAACGACGCCGCTTAAAAGATAGTAATGTTCAATGTAAAATAAAGTCACTGCGAGAAAAGTGTTTGGAAAAAAAGAAAAAAAATTACAACAAAAAGTTGCGCGAAATTAACAAAAAATAAAAGATTTGAAGTCGTTAGTAAACATTGTTCGTAATTACAGAATATAACAGAATTCATAGTTCATAAAATTTTACAAAAAAACACTTGTACCTTTTGTCATCAATTATTAACTACCGAAAATGAAAAAAAAAATATGATCATGATTATTTTGTTAATATTAATAGACATTCTGTGTTTACGACCTTTGTAAATAGAGGTAAATTATGTTTCGCATCTGATGCAGCGTTCGAGGTAGTGCGCTACTCAGATAGTTTGTTTAAGCACTCGGTATCCAAAGGTATACTGTATAATCGAAATTAGTGTTAGCGGTCCTGGAAATTTTTTATCCATTGTTGCAGGAATTATTTGTGCCTAAACATCCAATCACTAATACTTGTATGGATTTACACGAAACTTTTTTTTTTTATGCAGACGGATTACCTGATGGTAAGCAATCAGCGCCGCCCATGGACACCCGCAACGGAGGAGTTACGAGTGCGTTGCCGACCTTTTAGGGATTTGGGATTTGGAGATTTAGGGATTGAGGAGGGATTGAGGGAGGGGAAGGATTGGGCCTCCGGTAACCTCACTCACACGGCGAAACACAACGCTGTGGTTGTTTCACGCTGGTTTTCTGTGAGGCCGTGGTATCACTCCGGTCGAGCCGACCCATTCGTGCCGAAGCATGGCTCTCCCACACTTAAAAATAATAAAATATATTTCGAAACTTAAATAATAAAATATATTTCGAAACTGAAATAATAAAATATATTTCGAATAGTTTATTTAAAATAAGAATTCATTCTTATCTGAAAACTTATACTCAAAGGCTTTTGGGTGACATTCGCACTAAAAGGCAAAAATTGCATAAAACTGTTTTATTTTCACACGTGTGATATAAACTTGTGATTTTTATTAATAAAAATGATTTTGCACTGTAATGACTTTTTTTAAATATCCCCAGTACGGTCTGACGGCAACCTACCAATTATTCACCATCCGCTAACCCGCGCCTATGGTGGCTGAAAATCGAGATCGGGATCCTATCGTCAACACACATGATCTTACATTCGCCCTCTTTCAATATGTATAGACATTTGTTATTATTTAAATAAAAAGGACTTGATACTAGGCTTATTGATTTGGAATAAAAACGAGGACTTGTAACTGTTTAAGGAAATTTATTGAATGGTTGATATCGTGTGATAAGTGATATGGAAGACAGAGGAGTTATCGATAGCGTGACGAGTGACAGGACAGAATGGAAGAAAAAAACATATTGCGTAGACCCCAAATAAAACGGGACTAGGGCAGGAAGATGATGATGGTTGATATCGTGGACTGGTAAGATCTCTTATGAAATCAAATAGGTATTGGCTTTTAGCTGCAAGTAATTTTTAAGCTTAAATGGAAACTTATCAGCTTGACTTGTTTTCAAGGGGTGTTTTTGAAAGAATACTTATCATTATAATTCTTATTGTTTACATACGTAGTATTACCTTTTTAATTTGTGTTGCTTACCTGCCAAAATATTTGTGTCAAGTTTAATATCTAAAGAAATGATATCTAGATATAGCAGTATTACTGTTAAGTGTTAACGGTTGTGTGTATACGTAAGTACTCTTAAGGGTGTATTAAGATGACATGCGCTGAACACGCACAGCATCCGCGCACGCTTTGTGCTCGCCTTAGACCTAAAACATACGCAAGCGACGTAAAGCGAAGGCACGGGGCCGGCGCAGCGCAGGCGTTGGACAATTCACAAACATGCGGTAAACACTCATTAAAACATCTGTTATTCCAAAATCAAAATCGATCTTCAAGGCACCAACCGTTGTTTCCTTATCAGCACAAGAACACAGTTCAAAGCAAAAACCAACAGTATTTCTACATTTAAAAAATGTTTCTGGCCATGAAATGTTGACAAATATTTAAATATTTTTTATAATTTTTATGTAATGCCAATAAACGTTCTAAGGTACCCTCAACGCATACGGTATGTTGGTAGCATGACGTAGTTTTCGATCAACGCAAATGGTGCGTTGGTAGCAACGAATGGGATAAGGAACATACGACAGACAGACAAACATTTTAGCCATTGTATTTTTAGCATCAGTATCGAGTTATCGACTACCAACCCCTGATAGTTATTTTGAAAATATATTTAATGTACAGAATTGACTTCTCTACAGATTTACAAATATATGTATGTATAGATTACTAAACCAAAACTAATACGATCGAAAACCACACTAAAATAGAAATGTTGAATTTAAACAATCATAAATATGTACAAAATATCCTAAAGCTAGTAAAAATAGTTGTCACCCTGATGAAAGAGATGCAAAACATAAATGACGTGTATCAAGGTCATTTTATTAGTCCTCAGTTCTTTTTTCTTGGTGCAACATCCAGTGTACTTTATAATATTCTTGCCTATGGTAGTAGCAAGGTAATAATATTTTTATGGTGGTAGTAGGAAAGGAACGCACTTTTTTATTGTTTAGTTGGCAAACTAGCAACTGTTTCCGGACTTAAAAAGTTGCCAATTTAGGAATTGTTTCCCAAGTAAAGGGTAATCTAGCGTGTTTATACTTTGATTATATATTTGATTTTCAGAGATTTTGTAATGGTCACAACCCTATGAAAATATCAACAATATAAAAAATTAAAGTTTTGATGATTCTTGCGTTCAAAACGTATATTTATTATAATTATAAATAATTTTGAGGAATCAATATGTTAAAAAATGGCAATACTAAATCCATCGTCAACTTCGATTCTGAATGTTGTTTGACATGTTTGCATCTTTTACTCTTGTTTAGTTGTTTTGTAATAATTGTTCCTAATTATTCAAGGGCTGTTGCTGTTGTCACTTGCATGTGCATATTTTACAGATAATATTATTGAATAAGTTACTATACTACTTACAGTCATAAAGACTCAGTAAATTACCTTGGTAAGTGTGGTAATTATTAATTTCTATATCAAATACTTAAAATAAAAATGGTCGCCATTTTGCTCTGGATTTTAATATTTTTTTATACCTACGAATTATTTAATAGTATTGAGTACCTAAAACCTTATGACTGAATATTTGTACAGCTACCTTCGAACTACTATAAATAAGAAGTTTTATGCTATACTTAGTTTGGCTTTTGGGGTCTTAGAAGTACCCGGACATTTCCTCGTGCTCATTCATATTTACAGATTTTAAAACAAATATTTATATTTATGGGTAGTGGGTCTTAGATTCTCTTTAGATCTTATGTTTACATGTATTAATATTATTAGTATTCATTTATTTAAATAATGAAATAAGATTATAATTAAGGTAATAAACGACAATTTTTATAGGATTTCGAAGTCGAGGGTGGAAGAATAATTGCTTCCAATATTATATCGCCTTGACACGGATATTTAATAACTTTTTGTAGGAATAATAAATAAACGATAATTCGTTTTTGTGCATAACTTGCACACGTGGATTACATCCTTTAGCGACAATTTACTTCTACCTTCTACCGAGGCGAGAGTGCTTGGTTTTTTTAATGCTGTTCATTACACAAATACTATTACCTACTTCTGTAGGTATATTGGTTTACTTATATTTTCGACAAATTATGTACTTACATGATAATCAGTTCTTTATTTTTTTGTTTAGACATGTCCGAGTCTGTAGGAAGAGGAAGGGCCCGTGGTCGGGCCGGGAGGGGCGGTGATAATGCCGGTCCTCCACCGCGTCGACCTGGCGAGGCACCGAGACCTGGTACTCAGCAACCAGTCCCTACAGGCCCTCGGCCACAACCGCCTACTCCATGGGGACCCCCTACGGCACAAGCAGGCAGAGCCTCACACAGATCCACTCCATCCACTCATCAAGAGCATCCTGGTGATGTAGATGTGCAACAGAGAATGCAAGCAATGCAGATTGGTAATTAGTTATGACATTGAGAACTCATCTTGTGTTATAAGTACTACAACTTTTTACTTTTAGGTCTCATAACAAACTATGTCGAACAAATACTGTTGAGTTTTATCTTTTTATTAGATAGTAGGCTGTTGTTCCAAATGGTAAAATATTACCATGTGCTGAATACAGTAAATTCAGCAATAAATTTTGTAGCTGCCATAATTTATTTATAACGATAACATAAAAATTATTGAAAAAGAGTATCCATAGTTTCTTAGTGATTCTTCTCCATCGGAATCTACACTTTGGAATGTGCAAATAGTTTGAATAAGACTGACCGACAGGCTGACACTTTTTATCGTTAAGCTTTGTTTACAATTAAAAGTGCCCATAAGTGGCTATTTGAAAAATCCGTTAACAAAATAATTTTATAATTAGGGTTTAGTTTGTTGGTCTGTCTTATTTGCTTGTAGGTACCTATGAAGAAAATGAGCAAAAAACCTCCATGGTTACTGATGATTACATAGCATTTTATTTTGTTAGCACACCTAAGCATTTATACATAGCCATATCATTAAAATATAATTAGGTACACATTTGGCCCCTGGTAATAAGCAATAATTATTGTTTTATCAAGACGTCAGCAAGAATATTTGGTCTTCCATTGACACTGTCAACTTTTTCTCATCAACAAGAGCCATGTTGCGTATTACCGAGGTGTTTACAGTAAAATGGCTGAATTTGTACTTGATTATATTTCAATGGTATTAACATTACAATAAATAAATATGTGAAAATGCTGAGGTATGCTTACAAATTAAAAGAATACTATGTAATCATACAGTTAATCTCATTCAATCAGTTTCAGAATTAAATTCTTCATTACATCATTTAGTTGCAATGTGAGAACTTGAACACACTAGCGACTTAAAAAGCTGATGTGTTAATGCAATTAATGGATTTGGAATTTTTTATATAATTATTGGGGGCGCTTTTACTACATTTTCTGGGAGATTGTTCCCTTCCTGATATTCTGGTTTTACAGAGGGCTTGTTTGTTTATTTTTATGAAACATACAGAATTCCTTTTTTTTTTAATAAAAAGTCGTTGCCCCATACTAGGATTTTCTCCTGTGTCATGGGTGCATTTACAAACATACAATTTCACATACACACACACCCAGACCCAAAACAACAATTTGTGGATCACACAGTGTTTTTCCGTGCGGGAATCGAACGACACGTTGCACAGCAGCCAGCCCAGCCACAGCGCCAACCGTGCAGCAACAGTGCCGTGTTTAAATATCATAAATGCAATACTTAACCTACTTTATGAACGACTCAGTACTACGACTTACCAAACAAACAATCATCTACTAAAAAAAAAAAAATGTGACAGTGTTCATGTTCCATTTTGTTACATTTTAGCTGCTACATCGCAACCAACCCCTGCTGGCGATCAAGGAGCCGGGGTAATCGGGCGTGGCTCACGACGTGGTGGAGGCAGGGTGCTGCCAGAACAAATGGTCATTTTGCGTACACGCCCCAGTACCATCCAATCTAAAAAGGGTAATAATTTGTTTAATATTTATATATTTACGTGCACATTGAGTACTGCGATAATTATTATAGACGGTATTTAATAGGCCCAATGATATACCAACACACACACACCCGCAACACCAAAGTAGTTACGAGTGCTTTGCCGGACTGTTGGGGATAGGGGTTGCGGAAATAAGGATCGGGAAGGGATAGAGGAAGGGGCGGGATCGGGCCTCCGGTAACCTCACTTACCCGGCGAAACACAGTGGTTGTTTCACGCCGGTATTCTGTGAGGCCGTGGTATCACTCCGGTCGAGCCGACACTTAAAAACTTCGAACAAGACATGTAAATTCATGTTATTAAAAACCACAAATTGAATTTAATTAAAAATAATAATGTTCATGATGTTTAATTTGATTTTCCGAATAATCAGCTTCTGGTACTAAGTCAGAAACGATTTTCATAATTCAGTCCAAGACGTTGTTTTAACTTTCATACCTTTTTGGATAGCCGATAAAACAAGGATATTTTACTAATAATTTGTACACCTGGTGTAGTAGTTTTTTTTGTGCTAAGATATTTTGTGTGAAGTAATAGCAAAAATTACAAAAAAAAGTTTGATTAGTGATCTTCACCAAAGTTTTAGTCATTTTGAACTTTTAATTATTAAAAACAATTCGCTATGCCGTCAACTACAGTATAGCCGGCCCGTGAATAATTTTCGAAAACTTCGGTAGAACATTCGGTACAACTATGATGTCCTGTAAGGAATATGTTGTTTTAATTTTGTTATTTTCGTTATTAGGTACTACTGGCAACCTCATTGACCTCAAAGGCAATTATTTTATGGTCAAAACTACACCACAGTGGCGTCTGTACCAGTATCATGTTGATTTTTCTCCGGAAGAAGACAGCACCCACATTAGAAGGGCACTTATGCGTGTCCATGCTAAAACTCTGGGCGGGCAAGTATTTTTGTTCTAATTGTTATTATAGATATAGTCTGAGGTATTGATATTGAAGAAAGGACCAATAGTGAAATCGGAAAAATAGTTACTACTGACTTTACAAAACATTTAAGTTGTAACTTATGTGTGTATAAACATGATTGACTTTTATTCTTCCTCAAATGGCCCTAACTAGTGTGTGCAAATGTCAGGTACTTACTATTTACTCACTTACCAGTTACCACTCTGCTACATATAGCCCTTGCTCCTCCATACTGGGGCTGCATCAGGCCGTATTAGAATTGACTTCATGCTTGGCTCACTTCATCTTTTCTATAAGACTTCAATTGCGTTGAGATTGCTTAGTGAAGTGAGTGAGTAATTTTACCTGTAGATTATGGTAGAACCAGAGAGATATGGTGATGGAGATTGATCTTTAGGTAGTAAAAAACATGTTTTTATACAGGTATTTGTTTGATGGCTCAGTGCTGTACACAGTCAAAAGATTACACCCAGATCCCCTGGAGTTGTACTCTGATAGGAAGACTGATGACCAAAGGATGAGAATATTGATAAAGGTAAGAATTTTACTAACTAAACTATTTTTAAATCCTTGGTTTTTTATATTAAGAAGTTAGTATACATAATGAAGAAAAGGTAGAAATGGGTTGTTTTAAATAATAAATTTTGTCATAGTGCTTTGTGATATACAGTATCACACAACTCCCAAGGGTTTGATGTGTGCTTTATACAACTAAGGGCTGATTTTTCAATAGTTTTTAAGTGTGGGAGAGCCATGCTTCGGCACGAATGGAAAACCACAGCGTTGTGTTTTTCCGTATGAGTGAGGTTACCGGAGGCCCAATCCTTCCCCGGCCCCAATCCCTAAATCTCCAAATCACTAATCCATAAAAGGTCGGCAACGCACTCGTAATTCTTCCGTTGCGTGTGTTCATAGACGGCGCTGATTGCTTACCATCAGGTAATCCGTCTGCTCGTTTGCCGACCAATTACATAAAATAAAAGTCAGATGAATGTTATCTCAGGAATAAAATTTATGCTTATACAAACATTCTGATGCGACAGCATCATAATTATTCCCCAGGGAACTTTTATGTAACCATTGAAAAATCAGCCTTTAATGTAAAGATTTGTACAACTTTTTGTTTATAAATTCAACATGTGAGAACAATTTTATTTTTATGTATTATAATTGCAGCTTACTTGTGATGTCATCCCCGGAGACTACCATTACATACAGATATTCAATATCATAATAAGGAAATGCTTCCAAATATTGAATCTGCAGTTGATGGGCAGAGATTACTTTGACTCTGAGGCTAAGGTAAGCTAACTTTAAGTTAAACATTGATGAAACATGCTATCATCAATTCATATTGTAAATATGAATTGATGATAGCATGTGACATCATGATATACTTTACTGCAGGTTGACATCCCTGAGTATCGCCTTCAAATTTGGCCTGGATACAAAACTACTATCAATCAATATGAAGATCACCTGTTAATGGTTACTGAAATTACTCATAAAGTAAGTATCGCCAGAGCTTTTCAACTCAATGTCTACTTTTCATAATGGTGGTCTAACATTCTTTTAAATTTAATAGGTTCTTCGCCTTGACACTGTTCTGCAAATGTTAAGTGACTATGCTGCAAGTAAAGGGGGAAATTACAAAAAGATATTTTTGGAAGATATTGTGGGCAAAATAGTAATGACTGTTTACAATAAAAAGACATACAGAGTTGACGATGTTTCATGGCAAGTGTCGCCTAAGTCCACATTCAAAATGAGAGATGAGACCATCACATACATGGATTATTATAAAAAGGTATTTGTCAAAACTTAGGAATAGAAATAAATTAAATATAAAAAATATTATATCCAATTGTTATCATTTAATAGATTTTGTTATAACAGGTACAATAACTTCTAATTGTGTTCTTCATATTTCCAGAAATACAAGATCAATATTCATGATACTGACCAGCCTTTGTTAATCTCGCGCTCCAAACCACGTGATATTCGTGCTGGAATGCCTGAGTTAGTATATTTGGTACCAGAACTGTGCCGTCAGACTGGACTGACAGACGAGATGCGCACCAACTTCAAGCTGATGAAGGCACTTGATGCCCATACCAAAATTGGCCCAGATGTTCGCATACAAAAACTGATGGCATTCAATCAAAGGCTGACTAGAAACCCAGAAGTTGTTAAGGTGCTGATATATACTTTATATCAAGTTTACTTCGTTTTTGTGGCCATATTTGTAATATAATAATAAAATTAAACTGTTTAGGAAATGGCTGACTGGGACCTTAGTTTATCAACTGAACTGGTCAAGATTAAAGGTCGTCAACTACCGCCAGAAAATATTGTGCAAGGCAATAACGATCGTTATCCAGCTGGAGACACTACCGAAGGGTGGACCCGTGATATGCGGTAAGTAATTTTTATTTAAATATATTTATTCTACAAATCTTTTAATATTTAAACAAAATATATTTGACTTATGTGTATATTTTCAAATATCAGATCAAAGCCCTTGTTGGAGATTGCTCAACTGCCGTCTTGGGTGGTTATAACTCCAGAGAGGCAGCGTCGTGAAGCTGAAGGCTTTGTAGACTTGATTATGAAAACAGCTGGAGGTGTAGGTTTCCGTATGCCTCGACCAGAAGTAGGTGCGTGCAGGTTCACAGTATCATTGTATTAAATAGCTGTGCCTTGTTGAATACCTGTAATAAGTTTATTATTAATATTTCAGTTACTATCCGGTATGACAGTCCCATTGAATACGCAAATGCCTGTGAGAATACCATTGCGCGTAAAAATCCTGCCATGATCCTGGTCGTTCTAGCTCGTAAAGTTTCTGATCGGTAAGTTTTTAAATTTTTAATTACTTGAGAAGGAGTATTTAAGGTCGTGTTCCATTACAGAAGAACTTAATTTACAAATCTTAATTATTTTTAGCTATGAGGCAATTAAAAAGAAGTGCACCGTGGATCGTGCGGTCCCGACGCAGGTTGTATGCGCACGAAACATGACATCCAACTCAGCTATGTCTATTGCCACTAAAGTAGCTATCCAGATTAACTGCAAGGTAATCAAAAGTTAATTTATGTTGATAAACACAACTTAACAAAAATTGAAACTCTTTTTAATAACCTTTGTTTATTTTTAGCTTGGTGGTGCTCCATGGAGAGTCGACATACCTCTCCAAAACATACTCGTTATAGGTTACGATGTTTGCCACGACACACGCTCCAAGGAGAAGAGTTTTGGTGGATTTGTTGCTTCAATGGATCGCTACTTGACGCGTTACTTTTCAGCTGTTAACTCCCATACTTCTGGAGAAGAATTGAGCTCCCACATGAGCTTTAATGTTGCATCAGCACTCAAAAAGTTCAGAGAAATTAATGGTTAGTATGTTATGTATTAGTAAATCCAGCTTAGGTGATTTTGTATTGTCATTTTTTAGTCAAAAAAATATAAAAATCAACATATCTATATTTATAAAAATGAATCGCAAAGTGTTTTAAAATTACTCAACACTATAAATAGTTGGCACTAGCTAATCTCGCGCGGTTTCACCCGCTGCTCGGCTCCGTTTACTACACTATTACGGCACTCAGGAACATTGTACCTATCTATCAGTGTACAAATTTTACCTCTTTATAATATAATAATAGTCTAGATTCCTTATCTACTATGAAACACAAACACATTTTTTTTTTTTTTATTGAAGCCAAGGGCTTAAAAAGGTTACATGTGGTTAACCTGCACACTGGTGCAACTGAATATCTATTTCACTGAAATTTTTTTTTGTCTTCATATAGGAACATTGCCAAGCAGGATTTTCATATATCGCGATGGCGTCGGTGAAGGACAAATCCCTTATGTTCACTCTCATGAGGTAGGATAAAGATGTACATATTTATCACAAATATGATTTGTGGAAAGTACAGCTTAATAAAATATTTTGATTCTGATTATTCAATTTTTAGGTGGCAGAGATAAAGAAGAAATTGAATGAAGTTTATGCTGATTCAGAATATAAAATGGCTTTCATCATTGTATCAAAGCGCATCAATACGCGTATCTTTTTGGATCGTGGGCGTGGCGAGAACCCGCGGCCTGGTACCATTGTCGACGATATAGTTACTCAACCAGAACGGTAAGATTGTCAGCCCAACAGCACTATCTAGTTTACTCATTAGTCGATCGATACACTAAATTTTAGATACTTATTAACTATTTTTTAAGAAATAAGTAAACTATTCAACGCTATAATACTATGACGTCAGAACTCAGCTTTTCATGCAAATTTCATAGACATTTATATCGTTTTCGACATTTTGATTAAAGTATTGAATATTGGAAACTACCCTTGACTTCGTAGTTTCGAAACCTGTAGAATTAAACATTTACTGTAGGCGCTTCAACCTGAACTAACACTAATTTACGATACGACACATTTTTCGACATTTTAACTGGCAAGTAAATGCTCCTTTTTTTTGTAAAAGGTTTGAATTGTTTGTAGTAATAAATTAATCGAAGCTTGTTATACTTTATTTCCTCATTGAGTGTATGGTCAAAGAAGTATCTCTCCCATAAACAAGCAGTTTTGTATATAAAGGGTTTCAGTCTAGGTTTCATACTCACAAAATAATTTTTCAGTCTAACATCTGTTTGTTATCTAGGTACTTTTTTCTACATTAAAATTATTTATACGATAGTAACTTAACATTTGTTTTCATTTCTTTGCAGCTACGACTTTTATTTGGTGTCGCAAAATGTGCGTGAGGGCACAATATCTCCAACGTCATACAATGTTATTGAGGATTCCACAGGACTGCATCCTGATCGGGTAAATGATTTACCAACTGAACAATTATGTAACTTAATTTATGTTCAGTATCTAAACTTCGATTCTTTTTACGTTTTCAGATGCAATGGTTGACATACAAAATGACCCACCTGTACTATAATTGCTCTTCGCAAGTACGCGTCCCCGCTGTGTGCCAGTACGCACACAAGCTCGCTTTCTTGGCGGCCAACAGCCTACACAGCCAGCCGCATTATTCTTTAACTGACACATTATATTTCTTGTAAATGAAAAGATAGGTATAGGTAAATGCCTAATTTTTTCGACATTTTTTTATTATATTCTGTGATTCGCGTTATAATCTCAAAATTGTTTGAAAAGTTTTCATAGTAACTTGTTCCAATCTATGTAACAAGTATCGAACATTGTGTGAAACTACATATAAATTAGCTATAAGAAAATACGTGACTGCTTAGATTGTAAGACGTTGGACCGGGTTTTAATATTGAATATTAGACCTTTACCTCTCGTCTGCCGCTATATGAAACAGCAAAATATCAAGTCTCGCTTGTTACATTTCGGCAGAAACAGGGTTATAACTCTAAATTCTGTGGAATTTAGTAAAAATATGACATGGATCATTATTATTAGTAGTGTGTACTGTATGTACCAAAATAAGTATAGTAAGCTGGGTTTGATTAATTCATACCCCCCTTTTATTTTTTTTTCTTAATAGTTTGTAAGTTTTTTTTATTATCATTTTATATCTCTTCCTCATCTCGAAGAGCACGGTATTCACCCGGGCCAATAGCTCTGGACAAATTCGAAGACGAGAGCGGCTTCTGACTCACCCTCAGAAAACTGCAACCTCACTACCACTAGCGGGATTACCACGCTGAAAACGGTTAGTGTTTCGTCTACTATCGTAGGAAGACATCCTGAGTTTAACAAGTTCTACTTTAATTTAAAATTGTCATAAAAGTAATAATTACCATTATTACTTTTTTTTTTCCTGACTATGACTACCTCCAATACACTGTGTTAACACGTGCTAGTCACGCCACCACCGATTTAAGTTTGATTTGAGTGAATGTGATTAGTATAGTGGTTGAAGATGATTATGGTCTGTGGTTCAGTTCCCATATAAATTTCCCACCTGTGACATTAATATGTTATGTTTACATAATCATAACAATCTGTTCCTACAAAACATTTTGACATGTTATTTTTTGTTTTGCATTTTTACATAGTACAAGCTACTTTGTGGCCTTTAAGAATATTTAGAAACTGCCGCGGGCATTTCTAATCTTTTGGTAAAATGTTGCCATATATTTGCCATGGGCATATAAGTTTATTTTTGATAGTTTAGATAGTGTTAACTTTTTTAACTCTAGAGTTTATATCATATTACTCATGACATTCCAAATGAGTATTATTTTTATAATAGTCCACTCTCTTACTTTCGTTTTTGTAATCCATTCGATTAAGAAAGATCTGTTTACTGACTGGCAGTGGATGCGTTCGAATATTCTCCAGACTGCAAGTCCTAATATACCTAGCTATTTTAAGTAAATACGGTGCTTGTCAGACTTTAGTTTTACTAATATGTAAGTAATGACGAGGGAGCGGATTATTACCTCTAAATTGGCAGCAACCAAATACCTTTTTGTACTTATTACATTTTCTTATTATATAAATGTGTTTTATTTTTGAAAACCAAACTGGCTTCATCAACCTGTGCTAGGTAAAATAGTGATTTCATCATCCAATATAAGCGAAGCTATGATCGTTACCTACCTATACCTATAAGACTTGAAGATAAGATGCTATTAAAACCTCGCTGCGCTACGCGAGACGTGCCTAACTCATGAATTAGTTTTGGAGGGCCGTTCTTGCTCCTGCTCCAGGCTGAGGCCGCGCCACCACCTAGGTGTGCAGCAGGAAGTTTTTTTACTAGGTACTGTTCACCTGGGTGTACCACGGGATATATAAAATTTCCTCCGTCCACTTTATATCTGAAGAGCAAAGAGATTAATGATTAAAACATATTATGACGTCATAACTCAGTGTTTCATACGAATTACTTAGGAAAGTATCATTTTTGGCATTTGGATAAAAGGATTGAATTTGACTAGTTGGATAGTTGTACGGTGGGTAAGGAGCGACATTATTGCGGTCGTGCCTTTATATTTTTTTAGTAGGTAGTACCTACCGTGTCCGTTACCCAGGCCAGATGTTGTCGACAATGGTCATTTGAATCTTATAGATAATTAGTTGTGCGGCTTCTGTAATTGTTGCGCACATTTTTAAATTTGTTGCGCTTATAGTTTTTTAATTATTTCACAAAAACATTTCCTGCTGGCGTAACGTTACCACAGCCAGACCTTTTTATTTCTAATGGGAATATTTAAATAAATATTAGCTATAAAATTAGTTGTCTAGATAAAGTAAATGTTGTGCCTTATTTTGTGTTTGTTCTTTCTTCGGTTGCGAAGTTATTCGAGATTTTGCTGCGGTAACGTTTTTGGTTTTGCTAGATCTTTGAAATGGTTAAGCGGATTCTTATCATATTTTGTACACGACTTCCGAGGACTTAGTTTAAATTTGTTGTGCATTAACAAAACCAACCACCTACAACCTACCTAGTTCATTTAAAGTCTGGCGCAAAGCGTCACGAATTCCCTATAATTGAGTGAGTGTGAGCTAATTCTAACATGATTTTTCATCATGATTGCTACTGTGCCAGCTAGAAAAAAAGCCAACATGGCCCAATTATGCTCACGGTCTACTTTGACCTCTCCAAGGTTACCATGGAGCTCTACCATTCTATCATGAAGCAAATTACCGGGTTTTTTGCTTTACGAGTTCTACACACGATGCTTGAAAACAGTAAGTAGCTAGGCAGCTTGTGAATGATTTGATGTTTTTTGTGTCAAAATTATACCTTCTGCGTTACTGCAACTGCATAGCCGAGGTGGCACTTGGCAGCTCTAGTGCGCTGTGTATTACTGAGCTTTTTTTGAAGGGGAAGATAAATTGTTCTCCTCACTGGGATGTGGTGAGTGAGTGTCACGCCGGGTCCACACGTTGGCGACACGTTGCACGGCAGCCAGTTACCCAGCCACTGCGCCAACCAGTCATGATATAGTTCTACATAGGTATGGGTGACGAATTTGTTGCCGACGACGCGCTGGACGCGTGCGTTCGTGGCGTGCGTTCGCGCAGCGGAATGTTGTTGAATTTAAAGATTTTAATTATGCAGATATTTAGTGTATGACGTCGTATAATTGTGTATGGTAAAAAAAATTTGTGCACGCAACCATTGTGGAGAAATTCACCAAAAACTGATTCCGCTGGGCGAACGTTGTCCTGGCGGAACTTTTTTTAATCCATAGACTTTAGAAGAAAAGAGATGTATCCAAAAATTAGTGTGTATTTGTGTGTGATTGTGTATGTATGAATAAAACTAGTGCATGCATAAACTTCTGAGAAATTCAAGTTTCCGCTACGCGAACGTTTGGCCATTAGCTAGTTTTCATATAAAGCGCTTACATAGAGAGCTGTAGATTTTTACACACGTTGTTTTGAATTTGTTTATATTTGTTTAAAAAACAGATTTAGAAAAAATCGTAGGGTTTACAAGATAAAAATATAAACGTAAAATACGCTTATCAGGTCCTAGTTCTTAAAGTATGCACTTTGGGGTCTAGATTTTCACGTTTATACAAACCTTGTAAGTGTCTGCAACATGTTGCCAAGTATCAATGATGTTCCGTTAGTAATTAAATAGTTATAGGACAATTATGACAAATTTACCATGAATAGATCACTGTTTACAAAGCAGTCAAATATCACGACTTTCTAAATGAATTGCATGGTAAAATGTATGCCAGTAATTAGTGTATTCATTCAACTATTCACATGCAAAATTTCATGTCATTAAATTCAGTAATTAAAGAAAAACAATTATAATACTGACGAAGCATCGAAAACCTACATAACCTGACCAAGTTCGGATGGCTACAAAAAAGCGGCCGTGCCATATATCTAAGACACGTTCTTAACTTTTCAATATAGCATTTATTAATATGGTACAATATCGTACACAAGCGTTAGGAAAAAATAAAACACAGTATCGTACACACGCTCGTGCATGCCTAGTCTATTGGTTAAATAGTGTAATAAAAAATATTGGTTAAATAGTGTAATAAGCTACAATATGATAAATATTTACCTAAACAGTAGTACATACTTACATGTGGTAAATATTTAATTTCCCTAGGGGGTCTATAGTTAGAATCCTGATCCGTGAAATCTTCAATAGAAATTAGTTGTATGAATTTTATTTGTCTTAAATATAATTGGATTATATCTCAAGTCTCAAGCGCATACTTAAATAAAGTACCTACGTAAATAGTACCCACTTTCTGTCATAGTCAAATACATTTAAAAAAGTAGGTGTCCAAAAAGAAATGACCTATAAATTATTTCGAGATAACAAGTGTGTTATCACCTGTACCAATTCAATACCGGTATTATACTGTAAATTTTGGGATGTTACCTAAATATATTGCACAGCCGCTTTTTTGTAGCCATCCGAACTTGGTCGGGTTATGTAGGTTTTCGATGCTTCGTCAGTATTATAATTGTTTTTCTTTAATTACTGAATTTAATGACATGAAATTTTGCATGTGAATAGTTGAATGAATACACTAATTATTGGCATACATTTTACCATGCAATTCATTTAGAAAGTCGTGATATTTGACTGCTTTGTAAACAGTGATCTATTCATGGTAAAGGACATGGCCAAAAAAGTACATTCCACGTACACACACATAATTAATACACTGTAAAATAAAAATATAAATATGAATTATTGCGTAGTTTTTAGCCTCTCCAGACCTGACAATTATTATTAAAAAAATGTAAAAGTAATGCATGGAAACGTACAATCCGTATACACAAACATTATAAAATACACTGTAAAATAAAAATAGAAAAATGAATTATTACGTAGTTTTATTTTATTTATTTTCCTTAATACATAAATCATTATTATTAATTCTTTTGTTTTATTTTATAAATAAATAATACGCCTTATGGTTTTTAATAGCAAATCCTATTTTTTGCTTAGTGCCAGTAATCTGACAAAAGGTTTAGTGAAATTATTATCGTCTAGTGTGTTGTAATGACAAATTCTTCATGTGTTTTATTTATCGCAATTTAATGTAGCAATGTTCACGGATGTAAGACCTCAAAAATCATTGATAATCCTTGAATTCAATAACTATGCCAACGCTCATACAGAAACGAACATTCCATATACACAAACATGATAAAATACACTGTAAAATAAAAATATATAAAAGTGAATTATTACGTAGTTTTATTTTATTTATTCTCCTTAATAAATAAACCTTTATTTTTTATACCTATTTTTTGTTTTATTTAATAAATAAATAAATAATTCAAACGCCTTAAGGTTTTTAAAAGCAAATCTTATGTCGACTAAAGGTTTAGTGAAACTATTTTCGTCTTGTGTGTTGTAATTACGAGTTCTTCATGTGTTTTATTTATTGCAATTTAATTTAGCAATATTCGCGAATGTTAACACCAAAAATCATTGATGTGCCTTGAATTCAATAACCATGCAAACGCCCATACAAAAATTGGCCATGTCCTTTGTCCTATAACTATTTAATTACTAACGGAACATCATTGATACTTGGCAACATGTTGCAGACACTTACCAGGTTTGTATAAACGTGAAAATCTAGACCCCAAAGTGCATACTTTAAGAACTAGGACCTGATAAGCGTATTTTACGTTTATATTTTTATCTTGTAAACCCTACGATTTTTTCTAAATCTGTTTTTTAAACAAATATAAACAAATTCAAAACAACGTGTGTAAAAATCTACAGCTCTCTATGTAAGCGCTTTATATGAAAACTAGCTAATGGCCAAACGTTCGCGTAGCGGAAACTTGAATTTCTCAGAAGTTTATGCATGCACTAGTTTTATTCATACATACACAATTACACACAAATACACACTAATTTTTGGATACATCTCTTTTCTTCTAAAGTCTATGGATTAAAAAAAGTTCCGCCAGGACAACGTTCGCCCAGCGGAATCAGTTTTTGGTGAATTTCTCCACAATGGTTGCGTGCACAAATTTTTTTTTACCATACACAATTATACGACGTCATACACTAAATATCTGCATAATTAAAATCTTTAAATTCAACAACATTCCGCTGCGCGAACGCAAGCGCGCTGGACGTATCTATGTATGACGTAGGCACTCGAAGCGCGTTGCTATAGGAATAATATACGTCAAAACGCCGTGGGTTATACGTCGTAGAGTGGCCGACCTGCGGCCACCGTAGGGTGCGGCCTGCGGACGACAGACTCGGGGCGTCTTGTCGTCCGACCAGCAGCAGGCCTCGAGGCGGCGGCGCCGTGTTCCGCGCGCGCCTCATAATGGAGTCCTGCGGTCGGGGTGACGGCCGCAGTGGGTGACGGGGCCCGCCTAACCATCTGGCGGGCCAATACCCGTCGGGGGGATGCGACGAATGCTTCGGCGATACCCGCCCCTCCGACACATGGGTAAGTGGAGGAACACCGGGTTGGTTTTTAGTCAGTATGAGTCTGACAGTACCCTTCGCCCTTTCCCCGAGGGTGGTGG